GAGAGAGAGAGAGAGAGAGAGAGAGAAAGAGAGAGAGAAAATAGTGACGACCATCACCCCCTTCAGAGACTATCACGACACTTTGAAGACGTCGCCTAAGAGAAGGAATAATAAAAAATGAGAAATAAGGGAAAGGATACTGAAGAAAACCGACAATATACAATTTTCATGATTTTTTTTTAGACAACATATTTATAATATTCAAATTTGAAAATAATACACTGGAAATTCCAACGCCATCCAAGTAATGAGATTTGGTTGGAAATACGTCCTAAGGTCATACAAATAACAAAGTTCACATTAAGTGTTGCTGAAATCTAACGGCCGTGTGGACTATTATAATGCTTGGGGATACTTAGCCGCAAGCGGCGCGGGGGAGGGGGCTAAATATAGTCACTGAACCAAATTGGGGACTTAGTGTTGTGTTGTGTTGGCCGCGACTTATGAAGGCGCACTCGAGCAGAGAGGGCGAGGCGTAAATGGCGGGTGATGCACCAGCCTCGCGCGGGAACGCAGATAAACGCACCCGCTTCTTGATAAACAGGAAGACTCGATGGCATCCTCCAGCCGAGAGGTCGAGGATGCAAGGTGGGCAAAGGCCAGCCTTTAGGCGTGCATGCTGTACCCAGCATGGCCGTTTTTTTAATCAAACACGTTATTCCATTAATTACAATGGGTATTACATTTACATATATAGTGTTTACATTATGTATTAAGATATTATGAACATAGATATTATACAATGCTTGTGTAACAATATTCCACATAACGCTAATATCTTACTCGTCTTGATGTTTAAGCGCCTGATGATATTGATATTTCAGATTTTTTTTTTTACTTTTGTTTTAAAAGTTGGTTGGAAGTATTTCTGATGTTTTCTGGTAATTGGTTCCATTGCATATTTCTTGCCCCGGTTTCTGAATTTGATATTTTGATATTTACGCAGTTATTTTGTCTCATATGGACACCCATTATGTTTCCTGTTGTCTGTATAAGTAATAGCCCGTTTGGGTAATTTCCTTGTATGAATTTATGGATTAGAATACATGTGTCATGGCTGTCTTTGTGTTATAATTTTAGTAATTTTAGACTGTTTATGTGGTCATATTTGTTTATATTTTCTAGTGCTACTCTTGGTTAAAATTTCCAGTTTTGTTTTGTTTGAGGCAGGAATTAATGATAATAAGCGCGTGTTTGTAGGACAGCGGTGCTTATTTCTATGAGTATTTTATTTTTGATGTGATTTAAGTACATAAGAGTACCAATTACTTTTCGATAAATGTGATCAATATGTGTCTAATATGTCATGTATCTGTATATGTATATTCTTATATTTTTTACTGTTGTGTTAGGTTTGATGTAGCAACCATGGAGTTCCATAACTCTATTTTTGGGTATTTTTGCTATGTTCTGACGGCTACCTATGAAAATACATTGTTTTCTGTGGATTTAGTTTCAGGCAATTCATGTCGAAGTATTGTCATGCTTCTGTTGGGGTCTGTTTAGCTTTACTTACCAACTCATTTAGATTGTTCAGAGGCAGCACTCGAGAACGAAGTTCGTCAATTATGATCGGATTTTTAAATATGTTATATATACATATACTGGGATTTACACCAATTTTCATATTTAGATAATAAACCATGAATTTACTTTAAAAAACAAGTTTTTGAAAAATCGCATTTATCCATTGACCGAACTTGTTGAAAAATACCACATATACTCAATAGCAATACCCAAGGGCGTCCTCTGTAGCGTCCTTAACTCTTAATACCGTATTTAGTTTAATCCTAATCCACCGTGTCCGCACCGAAAACGAAACTCTCCACTGCCAGGCGGCGCGACAACAATGTTCAGTAAAAACTGTCGTACTCACTATTCTATCACCACCGTTATCATGTAAACATGTCGGAGAGAAGAGAAATATCGCGCGTGAAATTCGCTTTTGGGAGATTTCATGTTTTTCTTTTCTTTCTTTCTTTTTGTAATGTCATGTTTTTGGTAATCATATTTATGAAACATCTCTTAGGTTTCAAAATATCTATTGTATTTAATGTGTATTTCATGAACTGAGACTCTTACTGATGTTTTCATAATGCTAATTATCTTATGCCTTTTTTATCTCTGCACTGCTTTCCCTCTTAATTGTTTAAAGTGTTCTGTAAATAATAATATAAACTTCTTAGATGCTTCTGAAGACCACCTTTTCCTTCCCTTCA